GACAATTGTAACAAGTGCGCGACTGTCAAAAATTGTTAATAACTAATATAATAACATTTAAAATAAGGTTTTTTTTTCTAGTAGTGGATAGTCTACTTTACTCATCTGTCAATTAATACTAATAATATATTGGATTTTTTGTTAGTTAAAAATAATTAAGTAAAAATGTTACAATTGACCCCACTCTCCCCTATATAAATAAGAAGATATCACCCTGACTAAGGTTCAGGATGGAAGAGAATAAGATATCACCCTGACAAAGGTTCTGGATGCATGTGTGGATGAGACACTTTCCAAAATTTTTGGAGCAATTTAAAATTAATTACAAAAATATCGTTTTTAAAGTTTGAAAAAAATCGTTAAAAAATGTGCAAGATATGAGTATTTAAAGTAAGTTCTTTTATATTGCGCATGCGCGAAAAGAATTTAAACAAATTTATTTCTTCACAGTTTTGTAGTCAATAATATTTGGCAACTAATGATACAAATCCGTATTGAATATCCTAAAAACTTAAAAAATTTCAAGTAATTTTCTAGGTAGTCTTTGTACTTTTTTTTTAAAAAAAGAAAGCTTTAATAGATAGAGGTTTTCCACAAATTTTATTTTGTGTTATAAAACAAGATTTATTAAAACGAACAGGACCGACTCCTTATTAAAGTATGTTTCATTTCAATAGTTTCTTTCCTTATACAACATCTTGCTGACCGGTTATTATAGGGCAGTGTAATTTGCATTGCCACAAAATGAAACTTATAAGAAACCTCGAATCATTTTGAATTTTATTTTAAAAAATACAAAAACTGCTTAGAAAATTGCTTAAATTTTTTTTTAAATCTTTACGATATTCAAATCAGATTTCTTTCATTAGTTGCCAAATGCAACAAATACAATTCACTACAAAGTTTTGAAGAAAAAAAATTAAACTTTTTTTTTCGTGTATGAGCAGTATAAAAGAACTACTTTAAATGCTCACATCTTACACAGTTTTATGAAAAATCGCATGAACTAATCATCTCTAAAATTAAAACACAATCCACTTAATGTTTCCTGAGAAATTTAGTAAAAAAATGTCAAAAACTTAGATTGTCTCTTCGATTAATGTAGGGTAGTGTATATTTATTGGTTCACTGTAATATGTACTTTTAATGACAGCGCAAAAAGGTTCATTATAAGACTTCCTAAATTCTTATTTGCAACGTAATTTGAATGAACATAAATCGAAACGTTACTTTCTTTCAACCAATTGAGGAAAAAAGATTCCTTTAATAGAGTACTGTCTATGCTCTTAAATGTTTCGATTGTTACTCAGACATTATGCGATTCTATAAGGAAAAAATAAAACAAGAAAGAGTAACTGTGTATTATGTGAATTAATTTTCCTTTCTAAAGTGTTGTAACTTACATCATTGGATAGTAACCTCGATTCAATTGTTTGAATAAAGCTTTAGAGATAATTTCATGCAATTTCGGGTGCCAATTTATTTCGCATGAAGGCACAGATTGGGTAGATGTCATAAAATTCGTATTATATTCAAATTTAAAAATTTTTAAACGTCAGAAGGTCAATCATCCATCCTGATACTTCTTTTACTATAGGAAACTAACAACCTCAAATTTAATATAATACATATAATTATTTGTATGATTATATTACTTATAGTCTAACATTTTGCATCCGTAAAATCTATTTCAATTACCAAATTTTTAAAATAAAATTTTACAAGCAGGAAAATTGAATAGTTTTAAAGTTATTACATAAATCTTTAAAATTTATTTTTATAGGTTGTTTCGTATCCTGGTAATTTAAGATACAATCAATTTATATTAAGTTTTGAGGCTGTGCAATGCTCAGAATAAAAGACATTACATCCTAAATAACATTTCGTCTAACTATCAAAGTTATCAGAACTAAATGAGATCTTAATGGATGTGAGTTTCACCTTAGTAAACATAATTAATTGACCAGGGCTCAAAAGTTACATTGTCCAGCATACACGGTACTTGTAAAAATTCTGTTTGGACATACATGTAAATATTCAAACAAAAATGCAGAAAAATACTGATTTTCGGCAAATTACCGAATTTTACCGATAAATACTGAATTTTGCCCTGTCAAATTTTGACGAAAATCGCCAAACGTTATCGAAGGAGAAAAGTGGAAATCGATTATATTTGATAAGACCTAAATATCATTGATTTAATTATTTAAAAAAGAATTTCTTAAGCAAAATTAGCTTGTTCTTTTTTATATTCCTTGGCATGCTTACTTTTTTTAAGAAATGGCTTACTCTTCTTATCACTGAGCATAAGAAGATAATTAGTGTAGAAGCTTAAAAATCGTGTTTCTGAAAATGTGTTGAAGGGCATGCTCTTGCTGAATTAGTAATTTTGATATTCTTTAATTAGTAATTAGTAATTTTGATATTCTGTAATTAGTAATTTTGATATTCTGTAATTAGTAATTAGTAATTTTGATATTCTATAATTAGTAATCAGTAATTTTGATATTCTGTAATTAGCAATTAGTAATTTTGATATTCTTTAATTAGTAATTAGTAATTTTGATATTCTGTCATTAGTAATTAGTAATTTTGATATTATTTAATCAGTAATTAGTAATTTTGATATTCTGTATTAATAAATACCTAATAAATTCGATTTAAATTCAAACAAATTTATGTAGAACTCGAAAAAAAATGAATCACCCTCAGTAACTTTTGATATAAGGATCGGATCTTAACGACTTAATCTTAATGACTAAATCTTAATGACTAATAACGATCTCAACCTTAATAGTTCGAGGGAGTGACCTCAAATATATTAATTAATTAGTGCAGACGTTACTTTAAGTTCAAAATCAGATACAAAAACGCACTTTCTGTAAATAAACATACCTTTTTTTCGGACAGATCTGGATTTCTGACTTTCAAAATATAGGGGTACCCGCAAATTTGGGAAATATTGTCTTAATAGTTTAATTATTAGATCGGTTCAAATTTTGGACCTCTGAGTTTTAATTATACTTTTTGCGTATTTTGCTATATCTCGAGAATTTTTTAAGCGAAGCGAAGGTTTTTTTTAGGTTTTTTTTAATATAATTATAGAATTCGTTCGTCAACCCAAAGATAATACAATATCCTACATTATATCCTAAAAATATCCTACATTGTTTGCTACCATAGTTACGTCTGTAAGCCTCGTGTTGTACTTTTTCAGTGGTATACTAAGAATCATTTTGTTCTTGAATATAAAAAAAAAAAAACCAAAGATAATTTTCCTTTCAAATATTTTTTGATAATTATTTTTTATTATTTTATTTAATAACAGTCGAAAAAATTTTGAGTTGCAAGGCTTACAAATGTGTACTTCATTTTGAAAAATGTAATTATATTTGTCAAAATACAAAATTTGGATATTGTGGGTCCTTCTTGACTAGTTAAGTGAAATTTAAAGATTGTCTGCAAAAAAATAGAACTCATTTCGACACAGTTGGGGTATCACTCAACTCTCCCCTACATATATTCTGAGAAGGGATGAGCTTAGCTTTAACACTTTTTATGAAACGAATTTCCTTTGCTTGAACAGGTATTGCGCGTTGATTAATCTGTAGTAAAGTGATTCAGCCATTGAGTAAACTTGACCGTGGAAAAAAATTTAATTTTTTTTTCTCTAGAAAGTTTCCACGCATTCCAATTAATAATTTTGACGTGTTAACTGGCTTAACTGTGATTGATGACATTAAAGAGATATTTCGACATTCTATTGCTCAATATCGAAATCTTTTCACCAGTAAAAATGAGTAAAATACTAAAATGAAGCCATGACTTCGCAAATGGGTGTGCTTGGAATTTTTTTCTTTTTTTTCCCTCGTATACATAGTTAAGGGTTTCGGGGTATAGTTTTAATTTAAAAAAACATGTTTTTTTGCTCATGTCACAAGCTTTAAGTTTTTCATACTGTTGTAGCAGACGAAAAGTATACAAATAACAAAAAAGCGCTCACATATTCTCTATGAATTATTTTTAAAAATTTAAAATAAAGTAATTTTTTCAGTTTTTGAAAAATCTGAAATATTATGGTTCAATTTCAAAACTTTTTGGTTTATTTTTTAATTAAAATATCCCTACTTCAATTCGCATTCAGCATTATTTGCTAATCGAGTTTTAAAAACTTCGAACTTAACTTAACTTTAGAAAAACTTGGAAAATAGAAATTTTATGAAGTTTTTTTTTAAATTATAAAATAAAATTTTGGAATAATTTACAAATTTTTCAATGAAAAAAAAAGTAAAATAATTATATTCCAAATTTTGCGTTGTAATCTTTATTAAGTCTTGAGATCTATAATTTCAAAGTTGAGAAAGCTTTAAAAAATGCTGATGGAAAAAAGAACAATCAATATGAGAAAAAACAAAACCATGAATAAATCAAATATGTAAAACCATAATGAATAAAGCAAAACCATTTGAAAAAAAAAATAAATAAAGGCACTTTAATGGAATTGATAGTTTCAGTTCTAATAACCAGGGCCTTCTTTTATGAATATATATTCTATAAATTCGATAAGTTTATCGAAATAGCACGTATAAAATCATATCATATAAAACTTTATTTTGTTGCATTGTATTCTTTCTATTAATTTTTTTAAGAATTTCTATCTGCCATTCTATTGTCACTCCGCCATTATATCCCTTAGTTTCTTATTCAGGAACTAAGATTGGACTATGTGCCTTAAATGTCCAGCTAGTTGAAAAAAACTTTCGTATTGAAGAAACGACAAAATATTTAATTCACGAAAAATATTTGGACCTTATGTAAAATAAACATTTTACATTCCTTTTGCTGTTGCAAAAAAACAACGCTTTGATGAACAAATTAAATAGCATTAGCTGCAATTCATTGACAAACATCACAGATATCTCTCCTCTTTTTCCATTAAACTTTTACTCTCTTTATAAAATAAAAATTTAGTTCTAATTAAGTGCACATTTAAAACTTACCCAAACATGAGACAAAGCGTTGACATTCATAGTTTTCTCAACCTGTTTGTCGTCCAATTCTAAAATAGGTTTCCCTTGCACAATACCAGCGTTATTTATTAGAATGGTGACAACGCCAGCGTCTTCTTTCACTTTAGAAGCTGTTTTGTATACTGCTTCACGATTCGTTACATCGACAGTATATGTAAATGCTTTTGTACCTTTTTCTCGAACAAGTTTAGCTGTTTCTTCGATTCCATTTTCATTAATGTCCCATAAAACTAGATTTGCCCCCTTCTCTGCAAACTTGATTGCAGTTAAACGGCCTATACCACTGCCGGATCCAGTAATTAAAACCAGCTCGTCTGTTACATCTTTCATTTTAAATTGCTTGGGCACAAAAAATAAAATCATGCTTTCGATCCAATAATAAAAAAGAGTCAAAAGGTGTCCTAAGGTTCTCAGAAACTCATTCATGTTGACACCTGAAAATATTAATTGAACATGAGTTGTATGCTAAATAATAACACTAGAGAGCAGTTTTTTTTTCTTCTTAAATGAGATTTTTTTAAAACGGATCCTGGATATTTTCTCGGTCATTGATTTCAAATTTGTAATGATATTTTTTAATCAATTTTTTGTCGAAATGTCCAAGTTCGAAACACGTTAAATATAATAAGGAGTCATGTAAATGGTGCGACAAACTTCTAGGGAAGGTAAGGCACCATCAGGATTAAAATTACATTGGAACTCATGACCAGAAATATCATTATTCGTTGCTAAAAAAACTACTCTATTACGAACTGTTTCTTCTTGTGTTTCTGAACAGGTTAAAAGGGGAAGCTCCCCTAGTGGCGAGACGACATTTGCAGGCATGAGCTTCTAAGCAGTTTTAATCCTGATGATGCCTTAACTCCCCTAGAAGTCTGTCGCAAAATTTACGCGACCTCCTGTTAACCTCCTGTCTTATGTATAAGGTTTTCAACTCGCTCATTTCGACAAAAAACAGATTAAAAATGTCTTTAAAAAAATGTGTAGCTTTAGGAGTAAAACTAATTTAAGATTGGAAACCCCACACCTGAATAAGGCAAGATAAAGTATTTGTATTAATGCAACAAAAGATTTGGTCCATAGTGTAATTTATAAACTATTTTAACGTAACAATATGTTATATCTAAGCTTAAGAATCCATAGCATGTTTTTCTGCAATCAAAATAATTGCTAATTTAAGCTTACTTCACCAATCACATTTTCCCAGATGAGGATTTGAACATTGTACGAAGTTTCTAATGTGAGCTGAATTATATTATAGTTTAAATCAGTTGCTCACTTAAAATTTGTGGTTTGCTGTGGTTTGACTCTAACAAAAATATGATTCAATGGAACACCTTGTAAACAATTGCATCAAGTTTACACTTTATTATGGTTTTAAGAACCGATATTATGGTTCAAAATTTAACCGATTTTTCAGAAAGTACACTTCTTATGGCGTAAGGCATCTTATTTTAATTTCAATAAATGTTAGTTTTTTGAGGAAAAAAAGGGTGCATTTCTATAGAAATCCAATAAATTAAAAATCATACTTTGTTCAAAAAACGTTCATATTTTCATTTTATTTTAAAGACTTATAATTTTTGGTTTCATGATGATGACGAACACATGAAATATATTTTCAAAACACAAAATATATTTAAATACGAATTTTTTAAACATGTTAACAAATATTTTTCTTGGACGCATCCGTCAGAGAAAATTTTTTCTAGCCCCCCTATGTGTACTCTTTTAAGTCTATAATATGCTTTTCTGTTTTGAAAATAATTGTTAAATTAGGCTATGATATCGATTATGATATTTAAATTATTTGACTTTAAATCATCACATATTGATTACAGTAAGCATTAATTTTTCTGGAAAGGTGATTTCATTCAGTTCTTAAAAAGTTTTAAGTAAAGAAAGCTGCTTGAAAGAGCAAAAACTAGACATATTTGTTTTAAGATAATCCATCTTTGGCATATAAAGCAGGTGAACAAAATAATTGAAACTCTTCTACACTGATACATTTTTTCATATTTCTCTAGATACAGTTATTTTATACTAGATATAGTTATTTTATAACTTCAGAAATTATAATTTCTCATACATATCAGTGAGGTTTAAAACTTTTAATTTTTTGAGAGACCGACAATAAATTACAAACGGAAAATAATGTTTTTGAACACCCTATACCAAAATATGTAGCAATAGATATGCAACTTGTGACATTTATTTTGAATATTATATGCAATAATTACACAAAATTTCTTAGCCTAGCTTAAATATTTATGGAGATATGGACATTTCGTCTAATTTTTTGTCTTTTTTGCTATAACTTTAAAAATATAAAATAAAATTAAGCAGAATTTTTAGAGTAATTTAATGTTAATTATAAAATTTATTTTTTAAAATTTAAGGAAATTCGTTTAAAAATGCTCTAGGTATGAGTATTTAAATTAGTTCTCTTATACTGGACGGGGAAAAAAATTCTTAATTTTGAAGTGAATCGTATTTGGCAACTAATAAAAAAGTCTGATTTGAATATCCTAAAAATTTAAAATATTTCAAGTAATTTTCTAAGTAGTTTTCGTACTTTTTAAAAGAATGCTGAAAATGATAAGGGTTTTTCCATCTATTTCCTTTTGTGATATAAAACAAGATTTATTTAAAATGACACCGGTGTCGGGAATCACCCCATAAAAGCATCTTTTTTTCCGCCTCTCTTACAATTTTGTTGTTTAATAATTTCTTCTCGCGTTTCTTATAGAAAAACATTTTTAATACAACGTTTTGTATTATTTCTTTTTCATTGTCTAAATCATGTGACTCCTAAATTAGATCAAAATTTACTAGGTTAGATTTTGAAAAAAAAAATATTTCTATATGACTCTATGACTATTTATATGACTGATATTTTTTCATATAAATCTTTAATATTCTCCCCCTTTTTATGTGTCTAAAAATATTGGAAGAAATAATATTCTAAAAACAAAGATATTTTTGCTATTTACTGAATTTTGAAAAGCGAGTAATTTTATTTTGTCTGCATGAAAAATCAGTGTATTAATAAAAGTCAAACAAATGTTTAAATTTCTTCAATCATAAGTGCCAGCTTTTTATTCATCTCGGCAATCTCTATTCTGTTAGAATTTTACTAAATCTTTTGATTGTCTGATACATTTAGCTCATAAATTAGATTCTAATTATACCAGTGACATCTGAGCAAAAAACTAAATAAATAAATAAGTAAAATAAAATTACACTGCTTTTTTTTTATAAGTCTACTATTTACAGAATGAATTACAATAAATGAGCAAGAGCTGTCAGTCATTCTGTTCAAAAGAAAAGTGATCAATTTTCTTTTACTTATGGTAAAAATCTGTTTTATAATAAAAGCTAATGTGCATGCTTAACAACTGATTGAATTAATCAAATATCAATCAAAGGTGACAACTTGTCTATTGTGTTAAATGAATCAAACAAATAATTCGGAAAAAAAAGTGCTTACCTGATGGTGAAGAAGAAAAAACTACACTGTATTAACCAGTTTCGTTTCACTGTCTAATTTCAGGGTGAATGAAGCTAATCAAAGCTATCAGTGTTTTTCATTTTTAGGGTTACTATACATCACGATTTCGCCAAATGAGATTTTTTGTATCCTCTTTTATATAATGCCGCCGTGAGAGTGAGATTAGCTGCGATAAAACTCTAAGAGCCCCATGCTGGTGACATTAATAATTTGGAATTACCATTTTTTAAAAATTATTTAATTATTTTTAATATAAAAAAGTCTTGTTTGCTATATTGTCATAACGATAAAATAGAAAGACTTTATAAGCAGTTTTCATTCGAAATCATTTTGTGGGTAAAGTCACTCTAGTTGTTTAGTAAACTTTGCCCACCAGGTTTCTGATTTTTTATTGAAAGAGAAAGCAATAAAAATACCTAAAAATACCTATATATCGATTCTATAAAGGCCTAATCAAGCTAAGAAATCATTTTTTACTCTCCAGTTAATAGAAAAGTGCACAAATTTTTTATTACATGAGTAAAATTGAGCAATCAAACAAATTTGTAGGACGCATTAAAAAGTGGTCATAAAAATAAATAAAAGCAAAAAAAAAAATACTGATAATGCTGCAAAAATTTCATTGTATAAAATCAGGGAATGTGTGGAATAATAGAATATATTTAACTATCTATTTTTTCTAACTCATTTTTAAAAAAGTTTTATAAGTGGAATAATTTTAATAAATTAAAAATTAATTCAACAAAACAAAATGTGTTAAAGTAGAATCCATTTGGGGGGGGGGGAGTCACAGTATATTTAAATACAGAAATGTCTACGTGAGTTCGCTCTTGTATGCCTAACTGATAAAATCTTGTTGTCGGTATCAGGGAGACCAGTAGAGATATAAAAAGCTTTCTAAATTTTGTTCGGACACACTGTTTAGAATCTTTAAGATTGTAGCGGACATTATCAGCCTTTTTATTTACTCCAATTGTTTGCAATTTTGCCAAAACTTTCAAGAAAAATCAACTTTTCCACGCTGCATTCCTGAAAATTCTCTCTTACCATTCGAAATAAAACACTTTTAAAATGTCAGCACATTTGAAGAAAAGGAAAGTAGAAGATGATTGGTTTTCCATAACTTTCTTATTAAGACTTTTAAGGAAAAAATATGACATAAAATTTTATAAAAATCAATTCTTTTTAATGTTTTCCCTAAAAATGTTTCAAACTTCATATAACAGTAAGAAAAAGGTTTGTTCTAGTTATGTTAACTCGCAAACAAAGCATAAAATTGATTTTTGTCGTATTCTTTGATGTTTCTTATGGACCAGAATAAAAGTACTATGTTCTGGTAGTTTCAAACATAATTTTTATAGAGCGTTTCATCTTCTGTCCATTAGTTTTATTCGAATATCTGGTTTTTTTAAATATAGTTTAAATCGATAAAAACATAATTATGAAGACTTTTTGTCCAAAATGATCTTGTAAAAGAAAAACTAATGCCTAAAAAAGTATTGGCTAAAGATAACTAGATAAAAAAATCCTTAGAAATTTTTTTTCATCAAGAATTATCCCAGATAAAGATATTACAATATTTTTTTCTGGAATAATTTATATCTTTTAAAACAATTCCATTACTGCAATTAATTGTATTAAACTGTACATTTTTTTAACCCGTCATTGAACAGTCGACCCAATATTCTGGGTTTACGACTACTAATGTTGATATCCGCAGCCTTGTAATTTTGAACCCAATCCACCCCAGGATGGACCCCTGAATATACTCCTGGATCAAGTATTGGGAGAAATTGGCCAGCGTGGTGGACTTTTTGATGGAACTAACCCGCATTTGCGTTACATTTAGCGGAAAACCACCAAATAAGGATATTGTCAATATGTACTCAATAAAAATAATTAAAAAAATAAAAGTTGTAGCTGAAAACATTTACCTTCAAAATCATTAATATGTAGACAATGTTCAATAATATACATCAAATCAATAATATACAATCCTTATCAAAAGTCTGAGCACATCCTTGGTTTTCCATAAATTTCAAAAGACACTCTATCAATCGAAAAATTTGTTTTATTGACCTCGATTTTTAAATAAGCAACATTTTTAATGGGAGCATACTTTGTTTACATACTTTGTTTTCATTCATACAGAATTAATGCGGAAGTTTGCATGCATCAATGATCCTTAATAAGAGCTCCGTTCGAGGCATTTTGTTTGTTCAATTTAATTAAAGTTTGACAATGTATGAACTTGAACATTGAACGTCTTCCTTCGGTATTTTACCTGCTTACGAACAACCAGTTAATCCCACAAGAGTTCGATCAGATCCGGTGAATGTGGTGGCTACTCTAAATGGAATTAAGAAAATGGAATCTTATACTACTCCATACGGAGTATCGTTTGGCTTTGATCCATTTCTAACACTTTTTAGCAATTCTCACTTTTTAAATTGTTTGCAGCTTAAAGAAGTGGTTTCTATCCTATACGCAATACCATCCGATTTCTTGTTTGGAAATTTCTTGAAAAACATGAGTGTGCTCAGACTTTTCATACGAACTGTACATAAAATTAAAAAATTGACATAAATGAAACATTTAAAGGATTTTTTTTTTACCATATTTGTATATTTTTTAATATATTAAGCATTATATAAAAGTAAAATGAACCTAGTATGTAACCATAGTATGTTATATTTAATTTGCTTCATTGTCTAATTGCTTGCGTATCATTGTTAATATATAGGTGTTATCATGTATATTATTGTTTGTATATCATTGTTAAAATATGGGTGTCCTCATTTATATTATTGTTCGTATATCATTGCTAAATTATATGAATCATTATGTAGATTATTGTTGCTATATCATTGTTAAAATATAGGTGAGTAAAAAGTTTGAACGAAGATAAAACAAAAATTCTTTCAATATAACCTATTTTCTTTCTCTCATTTTCTTTCAATCATTTTAATTTTAAATATTTTGTGAGAAGAGTATTTTTAATTTTTAAAATTATTTGTATTATGTTTTTAGTTTAATTTATGAAAAAATGGTTTTAATTTTTTAACATGTTAAAAAACAATGGCGGTTATTATTGATAACTGCTTATTATTACCAATAATTTTTATCGTACTTAAATGGTTCGAATTTGCGATTGCGTATGGAAGCATAATGGAACAATATACATAGTACACATAATACACACTAAGATAAAATAGAAATGTAAAAGGCTTGCATCAGTTTTTGAGAGTCGAACCAGGCATCTTGTCGACCCAAAGAGTAGCTACTACGCTCAACCCGGGGTGATTGTTTTAGAGTTATGTGTGCATTATAATAAAACAATTAAAGCTCTGAATTCGTATTCAATGTATTGTAAGAAGTAGCCATACTTCATGAGAATTCTATTTTAGGTTGATGTGATAGCCCAACCTTTAGCAAACAAATTTTTATAACGTGTTGAAATTGCCTTCCCTAACTGTAAAAACACAAAGAGAGTGCTCAGTATGAATATGTGATGTTTGTCAGATTATTATGCCGTTTGCATTTCTAAGATATTGCTGTAGGAATTGAATTATTGTTTTCAATGAAAAAAGTTTTTTCTCATTTTTTTTAAAGAAAATAATGCCTAAATAATTTGCGAAAATGCAAATTTTTAAAAATCTCTTAATGCCTGAAACTTTAATTGTAAAATTTCAATGAAATCTCAAAGAAAAATATCCAACAACAGATTTCACTCAATTTTTTTTAATAGAAAGTGACTCATATTTTATTAAAACAGAAAATTGCTTATGTTGTCAAAACTCATACAGTGGGAAAAAATTCAAACGATTTTTTCCATAATAACATTCATATTATAAATTTTCACTTCAATTTTTATTATTTTTAAAAAAAAAATTTTTTTTCAAAATTATTTTTTTAAATATATTAATATTTTAAAAAATAATTTAGAAAAAAAAATTTTTTTTTTTTAATATTGACATTATATTTTTCAGAAGATTACAATGAGAAAAAAATATTGCAAAAAAACATATTTTCTAGGTATACACATACTACAAAATTAGATAATAGAGATTTATAAAAGACTTATTCGTCCTTGGGAATCAAACTAGGCATCCTGCAAATACGGAGAGGAGACAGTAGCTACTATGCTGACCCCGGGATGATAGTTTAAGAGTTATGTGAGCATTTAAAGAAAAGATGAATTAAAGCTTTTAGCTCTTCATCAATGTATTGTGAGAAGCAGCTATGCGTTATGCAAATCCTATTTTAGGTTGTTACTCTAGACCAGTAGTCCCCAACCTTTTTGTACCTAAGAGCAAATACCAGAATATTGGTCGAATGGCGGGCACCATTTATTTTTTCAAGATAAATTTATAGTTGGTAGACATAGGTAATATTACACACTACATATAGTGCACAAAAAAATTTAATTTTAAAAATTAATTTAACATATGAATATAATTAGTATTAATTTTCTTGTGTAAAATAAATAATTACTAAATTGCTTTCAAAACATATGAAATATAAAAATTATTTATAAAATACAGTCAATGTGGTGTTAGGCATGGCATTTCGCTGGCCAGCGCTAGATAATTGGGAGAATATAATGCTATTTTTAAGAATGGAATTTATTCCTTCAATTATATTCCAGAATTTCTCATGGGATATAATAGTTTTGATGATAATGTCATTCTGAAGATCCACAATTTCTATCTTCGATTCTTCTCGCTTTACTTGAAGAAATTCTGAAATGTATGTTGCTATTACGGTAACGTTTATTTGGTTGGTAAAAGGATTAACAAAAAAGTTATCAAAGGCTCGATGATATTAAATTGTTGAAAGAGCTTTTTAAATTGATCTTTAAACAATTGGAGGTTGATGACAAATGTTAATAAGTCAATTTCACTGTCACCTAACATTTTTTTCATGTTTGGAAAATGCACAAGAGACTTCATTTTCAAATGTGATATCCACAAAACTAGCTTAGCTCTGAACGAGTTTATAGCCTTTATCATTTTTGCTTTATGTTTGTCTTTTTCCTGCAGCTCCAAGTTTAAATTATTTAGTTTTTTCCATTATGTCCATTATGAAAGACAAATCTGCTAGCCAAAGAGGATCTCTCAGTTC